CACACCGATAGACAGTATTCCGAAATGAGGAAAAACAGGTCTTGTTTCACACCGGGTGAGAATAACCTACGCTGGCAAGTCTCACCCGGGGTGAGAGGTAATCGTATTTTTATTCTCACCCCGGGTGAGGATAGCCACTTCCATTTTTTCTACTAATACACCCGTCTCATGTACAAGCTTGATATACTTTATTTCTAGTAGTATTTTGCATGCTGAACACGAATATGGCCTTCATTTTTGCCGCAAATCAATAGTTACTGAGTTATTGATGTTTGAAAACAGAACTAGGACCAGTGGCGTAGTAATATTTGACTTATTTTTAACAACAGGGGGGGTTTCAGGGGGGCATGCCCCCCTGCATTTCACAATGATTTGATGTTTTGGCAATTAGGATTGATATTTACACGAAAACAATTGATTTGCAAGGGTTTTAGTGGCCCCACGTGTGTTCTGCAGCAAAAATTATGGCAGTTTAGCCTTCATATCAGTGTATCTGTGTGTGGGGGTAAAAGTAAAAATTTACCAGGACTTTTGAGTGGGTTATATATATGAGCAATTGCCAAAACGTGACTCTCTTGAGACTCAGTGGTGCAAAAAAAATTTTCTTACCAATTTGACTCCCTTTTCTGTCAGTCACAGATTGACATTTAGTGCTCATATTCCTAGAGTATTAGAGCAAGGAGATGTAGGGTTTCGGAGATATGGGTCTATTGGTTTGGCAACCAGTGTATTTCTTGTATGTAACAGTGATGACAAAAACAGATAAGCAGCAAGGCAAATTATGGACTTTAAATTCTATTTGTTTAGTAAACAAAGACTTAGTACACTATGAACTCCATTCATAATGGTAATATAAATGACAAGCATTGTAACAATGACGCAGTGCTCAGAACATGTCATCATTGTTATGTACACGAAAGGACACACATTGGACATTATCACTGACAACACATCACAATAGTGAAAGGCTGTACAAATACAGTTATCAAATCCTCAGTACCAGAAAAAGACATGTGTAAAACCATTTTTAAACTATTATGAGGCAAAAGCACAAAATCAATGGAGCTGACTTGTACATAACAGTGATGACAAACATGACTTGTACGTAACAATGTACAGGAAAAGACAAAGTCATGCCTCCAGAGAGAAATGCGCACTCTAAGAATAAAAAAAAACCCAGGAGAGGTTTCTTTTGCTTTGAAACAGATATCAGGTCATATCAAAGACAGTGGATGATCTCAATTATGTTGCTAATTATGACAAACAGTACTCGTACATAACAGTGATGACAAAACATACTGGGAAAATGTAAAATCATGCCTACAAAGAACAAATTTGCTCTATGAGATACACAGATCAATAAAGGCGTATTTTGCTTCTAAATGAATCTTGCATGTATGAAATATATGTTGAAAACTTATTGATATTAGCAATGATGACAAATATTACTTGTACATAACAATGAAGACACAATGACACAATGTATTGAAAAAAAGCATAACATACCAACAAAGAACAAATGTGTATTTTTGAGTTAGACAGATAAACAAGGACATGTTTGTTTATTTGTTTGAGAAAAGAGAGCACACATGATTTAAAAAATGTTTGCTCTTAGGACAATGTAATTTCTAGTACGTCAGTCAGTCTTGTACGGCTGCATGACGACACACCAAACGTCATCACTAAGCACAAAAGCTAAATCTATAACCACAGAAATGATCCATCTCTCAAAGTTTGTTCGCACGTCACACTCTTGTTCCAGGAATCCAATGTAAACGCCGCAATTTCACTAAAATATTCAATAGGGTGGCCTAAAAACACTCAAAACAGTCCAGTACGTCACATTCAACGTCAAATTCTTGTGCGTCACCGGACGCTAACGGCAATGACTACTTTCATTTTTCTCTTTCCCCCGTTGCCTCCGCTGTTCTGGGGAAGCGGGTAAGGGGAAGTCACTCAAGAAAATAATTATATCCGGGCACTGTTGATGATCCGTTCAAAACAAAATTCGGACTTCCGGTACGTCGCAAAGTGACGCCAATCACAGCGAATATTAAACAGCCGACCGAAATCGTAGATCTAGGAACCCGATGTTCCTATCGTGCTTCGCGGCTTTTGAAGTATTGAATAAACGACAAAAAGCAAAAAGATTTAACCAGCTACGGTGATTCTACTGAAAAATAATGGTGTTTTCTGAAAACACCTAGTCCGTGACGACACGACTGACGCACAAGTGATCCGAATTGTTAGTTTATTTACAATCAAACAAATAAACCGATTTCTTGAGCAAGTGAACCTTTCTCGATGACAAATAGCATAGGATCAAAGCACATGTAAAAAAACCCACCCAAAAATACTAAATTTTGGACATTCTTGGAAGTTTGCATTGGTGTGCTCAAAATGACAGTCTAGGAATCACTAAAAAAACGAACATTTTTGGCAAAAAATTTACAAACTCAAGATTGTAAAGCTGACATAGGGTCTGAAACTGCTAATGCAGGTACTACATCCTATATTTGACTTGTGTATAAGTTTTGGAGGAATAAATACTAATGCATCACATTTTATGCACACTAATGTGAGATGTGTGTGTGTTTTTCCCCACGTTTTGGCAATGGCTCATTGTAAAAGATAGGGTTTAGTATATGATTGGGCAATAAAGAAAGTAAAACTGCTTTCGTATTTCCTTGTGTTCTCCTGCTTTCCACTGTCTCTCTACCTGTAATGTATATTATTATTAGTTACATGTTAATATCTGAAAACATACATAATATGACATGATTGGAAAAATCCATATTTCGACGTGACCGTGATTCGAACTTGTGAGTGAGAGAAGCAAACATGATTAGTAATCCAAAAGAGTACCACTATGCCACTAGGCTGTTGACACAAGGGGGTTAAAAAAATTCTTAAGAACCTACTGGAGTTAAGTGGGAGTGTATGACCTTTAAAAATTACCAAAACACAATTATTTTTTTTATCTCTAAGGATTTTGCCGAGGTTCCGTCACAAAATTACGACAGCTGATGGGATCGGCTTAAAAAAATAAAAATAAACAAAAGTAAATTTCTGAGTCGAGTCTACCTAATTTGCATAAAAGGGAGGACTTGTGTTGTTTGAGTTGCCACTGTGAACAAACGCGGATTTCTCCGTACCAGCCTACCTTTATTTCATTTTTTTTCGTGCGCACGTGTCGCGGTTGGGGATGAATGAAAAATTATACAAATAGCAATTTCATTTCGTACACGTTTTGAACAGAAGAAAAAAAGAAAAGAAAAAAAAGAGCCTTAAAAGGGAATTCCGTGGCAACCAATCATCAAGTGTCTAGATCATGCACACAAGAACACACACTCCTTAGTAAAAAAAATGGAGTAAAATATCGTTTAATCCCCTCAGGGGGGGTGGGAATAAGAGAAAATTTTATTCCCTCCCGCGGTAGAGCTGGGTCGCTAGCGCGAGAACAGAACTGAATTGCCACTCTTCCCTGCGGAACGCGATTTGAGATTCACTTCAGCGGAACAGTATCGCCTTCCTATTCCCGATTCACTCCCCTGTCGCTGTCACCACCTTGTGGCTTGTTTATAACCTACTGCTGGGTCGCGAGTCGAAACGGAACTCTTAGTATGGCTCCCTTTATTTTACAAAAGATGGCACAGTCCAAACCCCCCCCCCATTGAAACAAAATTAACATTAACCAATAGACAGAAGGAATTTTATGGAGCCATTGTTTTAGCGAATCATGGGGTGTGGGGGAGGAGGGGGGGTGAATTTATGGGGGGTCAGTAGAGGAGCGCAACAAAGGGTGGGGATGGGGGAGAGGATGGCGGGCGAGACGTCTCGATGGCGGTGCAACAAGAGTGGGACTTGTGAAGTGGCGTTGATATGACACTGGTCCGTTTCATGCATACAACGAGCCCGAGGCTTAGTGTTCCACGAGCACTCGCGTACTCGCGATTCTTTGAAGCTGACTGAATCGCGAATCGCCACTCTCAGATTTGGTGAGCAGGATCCAGCTTTAACCCGGGGTGGGTGTAATGGCAGCTGCAAAAAATAGGCATACTGAATTGTACATTAATTTTTAGTTTGCAATACCTAAAGTATTTGTTTTTGAGACGAAACCAAAAGGTGCCTTACTGACACTTTTTTACTGACAGTACATGTATTTTAAACCTGAATAATTACTAATGAGACCTGTGTACTCAACAGGTTTCTGATAGGGCCTAAAATAAGTACGGCTAGACTGGCAGGCTATCCGCACTTATTAATGATGGCTGAATTGTAAGTAAAATTTTAGTTTGCAGTATCTAAAGTATTTGTATTTTAGACGAGACCAAAAGGTGCCTTACTGATATGCATGTATTTTAAACCTGAATAATTACTAGATCTAATGAGACCTGTGTACCCAACAGGTTTCAGTCAATAGGGCCTAACCTAGATCTAAGTACTTAAGTACGGCTAGACAGCTAGGCTAGCCGTACTTAAGGATGGCTAGACTGGCAGGCTAGCTTAGCCGTTTCATTTAAACTTTGTAGGCTGCACTGAAGGCCTTAATAAAAACATAAAACTTTGAAGCTGTTTTCTCAAAACTTTGGTTTAACACCCCCTCTTACAAATCCTAGCATATCTTAAGCTTTAAAATATTCAAGATTCGGTCAAAACATTTAAAAAGCAGCTTCTTTACTTAGCTTTGAATTTCTCTCAAGAATGTCTTTAAACTCAAAATGTAAAATTCCCAACAACTGGGACCTTTTTTCAGGCACGCACATACAATTATTATTTGCTTTATAATACAAAAAAGCATAACTTTCTTTTTCAACGCCAATTTCCTAGTAAAAATTACTAGATTTAAAAAAATGATTATTATTGTTTCAACTCATACTTTATATCCTTTTTTATTCTTCACATGACTTGCACCTGCACTGATACACATAGGATACCAGACTGCCTCATTAATCAAATTAAGAGACATCTTGTGCAGTACAGTGTAGTCTTCAAAGCATCTCCAGATAATCCTCCTGCTGCTCAGCACAAACCAGTGGAGAAATGTCTTCAGATTCATCACCTGTGCAGGTTTATGTGTATGACCTCTCTGGGGGTCTGGCCAGAGCAATGTCTCAAGGAATTCTGGGTAAGACTTACAGAGGTTTAGGTACAAAGACATTGATGGAAAGAATCTTAGAATTTTGCTCTGAATTGTTTGCTGAAGTTTGTTTGTATGAAATAGGTTTTTAGGGAAGAAGAATTTATGTCAGAGTTTAGGTGAAGCTCTTGATTCAGCAGGAAAGATTTTTAAAAAATTTATTTCATGTCATGTGTTTTTTATTTGTAAACTTTGATGAATAAGAAAATAGGCACTGTGCGATACTGAAAACCTCGAAAAGAAATAGAGGATACTATACCTACTACACATTCTGTTTTTATTTTTTCCAACAAAGAGAGTTGTGCCAGTTTTGAAAAATAATACAAACAGTATTTATCTTTATGTTGCTGTAGTTGCTTTAAATTGAAGAATTATCTTGGACACCTCGGATGTAGATGGATAAATCTGTTTCAATTACAGAGATTGTTGTTATTATGTTTAGCATAGGTGTGGACAGGCATAGCTGGCTGGTCTATCTTTTTATCTGTTTTTGCAAGTTGTCTTCTTTTTTTTTTTGCTTGTGATGTTCTCTGTCCCTTTCACTTCTTCCCTCTGCAAACTCATAGGTAGTTTTGAAAAATGTTGTACTTGTGAATTGCACCATTGTGGGAGAAGAAAATGCTACTTCTTTTGGCCTTGAACAGTGTTATTAAGTCAAATGTGTTTTGCATAATTTACAGGAGTAAGCATGTATTCAAAAACAGTTTACCATTTATTCACACTTCTTAATTTCTTGTTTTCTGTTTTCAGGCAGACAAATAGATGGTGTGTGGCACACTGGTATAGTTGCCTTTGGACAAGAATATTTCTTTGGTGGAACCACAGGGATAGAGGCATGCGCCCCTGTAAGTATTGTGAAATTTAGTTGTTTGGGAAGCTTATTCTTTTTCAGCTTCAAGATTTGCATGACCAGCTTGATCGATGAACACATCTTTTTTTAGACTGGCAAAGGTAAAGATTGGCCTTTCTGACCAACCATGTGCAGAAATGCCACTCTTGTCATTTTAATGTCATTGTCATAGCAAGGAGTATGTTTATTTGTGGATTAATAAAAAGTTTGCAAGGCCCTGTCCATAGTCATTCAGCAACTTGGTCATTGGTGTCAGGGAAGATTTATATTGACTTGAAGATGGTTTGTATTTGAAAATTAATGTACAGTGGGTCTTTACTTCTGGAGTATTGTGTTTGTGACTTTGACTTTAGTGTCTCAACTGTAACCCCTGCTCTTCTTTTTTCTTTTTTTTTTTTGGTAAGTGTTTTTACGGCGCTCGCAACTGCAAACCCATGCTCTCTATGCACACCTAAAACCCATTTCAAGTTCTCTGTAGGTATTGCAAGACTACAGCTTTGGCAGGTCTGGTTGTGCACCCTTGGAGGCTGTCCCATCACTAACATCCATTTATCTGCTCATCAGTCATTTCAAGTACAGTAGCACTCTCATAATGGCTGTGAATGATGCTGGTTTTCCTTAATTTTCCTCTTCCTCCTTCTCCTCTCCCTCCATCACCTCCTACTAGTTTTGCTTCTGCTTGGTCTGCAGCTAGTGTGACTACTTCATTCTACTGTCTAATAAGGATTCTTTTTTTTTTGTAGCTCAAAAGAGATTCTTGAGGTAGAAGCTACTGAAATCCTGGAGTTCACTAATGTTTTGATGAATAAATCAGGTTCCACGATTTATCTTATCTGCTACTGATTCGAGTTCACAGTTTAGCCTCAGTTATGTCAGATTTTTCAATTATTGAGTGTAAACACCATGTAAATGTATGAAAAAGTAGCGAGATTATAAAAAAGATTGCACATATTTGTGAATAATGGTAAGTTGCTGCTGTGATTGAGTCTTTAGCCTGACCTCATAGAACATAGTAATGTACATTCTTATTTAAGGATCATTTATTGTATTTATTTGTTACCAGTACTTTGAATTGTAAATTAAAACTCAATTTTTTGTGTTTGGATTTTTATTCCTTTTCTCTTTCAACAGGGTGGCACTATTCTTGGCAATCCAACACAGAAGGTTGATTTAGGAGTCACAGAAATTCCTTTTGATGTTTTCATGGATTATCTGCATGAACTAGCCCAAACCTCATTTAGGTATGTGAAAATATCAGATTGTTTATTGCACTTATATGTAAGTGTAAACAAACCTATGTATGTCTTCCAGAAATTTCAATAAAATGTTTTTCTCTCTACTTCCTAAAATTGTTCCAGCATCAAAGCTTAAAAAATGTTGACTGTGGATATTCTTCAGGCTGCTGCAGGGCTGTTTTTTATGTACTTGACTGCTTTCCTATCTAGTGCACAAGTTCCTTCGCTTGAGAAGTAGTCCCTAATTACTTTAAGTCTTTCACCGCCTTAGTGTTTTTGTATTCAGTTCGTACTCAACTCAATGTGATAAATTATGGCTTTTTCCCCATACTTGTTATTTAATGAAATTTTATGAAATTGTGAAACATGAATGCTCATAACAAATATCAATTCTATTTCCTGTATGTGCAGAGCAGAGACATATCATTTATTCCACCACAACTGCAACAACTTCTCCTCTGAAGTGGCACAGTTCCTCACAGGAAAGGATATTCCCTCTCACATCACCAGCCTCCCTCAAGACGTACTTAGCACGTATGTATTGGATTTTGTTAGTTGACAATAAATATGCCACTGGGGACCAAATGAATTATTGTGATGGAAGAGTACTTAATCTTAAGGAAGCTGTGGGTCAGTTTATGAGGCCTCAGGATTGGTTATTTAGCTTTGTGATCATAGTTTTATTTATGAACCTCTGAAATTTGGCACAAATTGAACTAAAATACTTACAAAAATTTTAAAGAGAAACTTTTCAATTTATGCATGTAGTTGTTTCGAAAACATATTCTGTAGTCAATTTATTTCTTTAAAAAATTATTTTTTTTAAAATCATTGATCGAAAAAGCTTTAAAATTTGGCTGGTCTTCAGTGACTTTTTCTGAAACTGACTGAAAGATACAGAAAGCAAATTAATGCTTGGAAAATTTTTTAAAATTTCACTTTGAAGGGATCCTAGAAGAAAAAAAAATGAATGTAGAAAGATTTTCATTAACCAGTTGTACAATAATATATGATGAACATGAAAGCTTTGCAGTGAACAAAATTCAGCTGATTGCTTTGTTTTTGAAATGGTTTAATTCATTAAAAAAAAGAAGAAAATACACCCATTATTTTTGCCGTGACTTCCAAGATGGCCAGCTCTCTCAAGTCTTAAGAAACACTTCCCTTTTGTGACTTTTAACCCAATTCACCCTGCGTTGCCGCGGCGGGCTGTGCACTTGTGTCCACCTGGCTTGCCGCGAGGGGGGGGGGGGGGGGGGGGGGGGGGGGGAATCGGTCTGAACTTGACACACTGACCTTGGACACGCATTGTGCCCAAACCATTTAAGTTTAAGCTATGAATATTAAACTTCGCTCAGATTTTACTAAAAATGTTCTTTTAATATTAGTAGAGAGAAAAAGGAAGGAAAAAGCAGAGAAAACAATATATTCTTCGTCCGGCTGCGACTCATCGGCACTCAATTTACTCATAACAACTTATAGTAAATCTGTGGTCTAGATCAAGCTTTTCTTCGAAGTTTTCAAGGCACTAAAATCAGTCCGATCGCCTTGTTTTTCTAGATTTATTTCTACTTTCACTTTCTTTGCCACTTAAAACAAAACTAAAAACATTGTTCATGTATTAAAACAAACACAAAAATAGCCGTGGCACTGTTGGTTTCTGTGGTTGTTGCTTCTTCTTCTCATCCATGACGATTTCAGTGTTCGCTTTCTTGCCATGATTTGCGGTGAGAAAACAACACAACTAACTCGTACTTGGCAAAAAACTGGATCGAAACAAGCTAGCAAAATTTTTTACAAGTCACAACTGACCTGTTACTTTCAATAGAAACCTAGATACAGTGGAAACCATATATAACAGGCCCGGTAATAACAGGGATCCGGTAATAACAGGGATTTTTTAAATCCCCGTTTTTTCCTACTCTTTGTCTCTATTAAAAGTTATCGGCAATAACAGGGCCTCATCACAGCCCAACCGGTTATAGCAGGGACAAAGGCTCATTACAATGTGTAAAAAGTGAGAGAGAGAGAGAGTAACACAGTGATGGAGCAAGCCTGCGCAAACCATGCCACTGCAAGCACACGCAGCGTGTGAAGCGAAAGAGGGCTGCGGTGTGCTGCAGACCTCGATCTAGCCCGAAACCGTAATGTGTCACCAACGATGTCAAGCGCACGAGAAAATGCCTTTCAGTTGACAAAAAATATGAAATAATCCAGGCTGTTGACAAAAAGCAAGCTCCACTGGCAGAGATTTGTCGTCAGTTCGACATTCCACAAGGGTCGATTCACACCATAATCAAGGATAGAGAGAAGATAGTGGCAGCATACTCCAATGGAAAGTTTGCTCTGGATCGAAAGCAGATGAGACTACCTGATGCAGGTGCTGTGGACCAAGGTCTTCTGATGTGAGGCAATGGAGAAAGTTGGTGCCAAAACCCCTGTTCGTGGGTACTTGTGGCAAGGGAAACTACCCATGAATAAGTACAGCTGGATAAGTCCACAAATGCTCACTTTCCTTGCATTTCTGATTTAACAGGGATGGGATATAACAGGACATTTTCTCTACTCCCACCATCCCTGTTATATCAGGTTTCCACTGTAAGTGGTTCGGACTCAATTTTGTGGACTGGTATTTGGAAATGACTATTCTCGTAGCTTGGTGGATGGAAGCGCGTGGCAGCTATGAACTATGAGTATAGTCGTAGCACTGGTGCAATGGGTGAAAAGAATTACCTTTGTATTATGAATTAGTGCATGTAACAGATTTTCCCATTCCATTGGTAATGTAATGTAGATTTTTACAGTGTTCTGATTATTGAATGTCCTTCTCTAAAAGATGCAATAATGTTAACATCATTCGTATGAAAAGAACTGAATGAAAGAAATGCTTTTATGATTTTATTTTTTTCAAGTCTGATCTATTTGATGAACCAAGGCATTGAAATTCCTGACTTTTTTTAGCAATAGTTTCTGTCCTATGCATTTTTTAGTGCACATATCTTTTACGACACAAATGCAGTAACTTTTAGAATTGTTTATAAATGTATGTGACATTATTGACGTGTTTACTTGACTTGTTGGTAAAGTCTGTTAGTTGGGCTTTGAATTCTGCTTGGAAGCTGTTTAGGAAAGAATTGGCCTGAATGTGAATAAATAAGATATTGTGTTTTCAGCAAGTTTGCTGTTGAGATTTGATATTACAGTCTAGCACGCACATAGCGAGCAGTTCAAGTCCTCAATCTTTGCTTATACATATATATTCTTTGTATTTAAAACATATACTTAGCAAAATTTGTACATAACGAAGAAATTTTCGTATCCAGCAATTTTCGCTTTGTGCGTGCTGGACTTATAAATATCATTTAAGCAACTGGGGTTTTTTTTTCTGTCCTCAGGCCATTTGGTGCAATGATACAGCCCTTTGTGGAATCCATGCATGTACAAGGAGGCCACTCGCCATTCCAGTCATCAAATAATCCACCTAACTAATGTCAAGTTTTCATACATTTGCTTTTGCTTTGGTAACGTTTCGGGTTGTTTTTTCAAAAATATATGTCTTTTCCACTTAGCCAAGAATATAATGAAACCAGTGAATCTTTCCGGGAAGATATCTAAGGCACTCAGTTTTCTCTATCATTTCTATTTGCGTTCTCACAGTTGTCAGCGGCTGGGCAGTGTTCTTTAACTCTTGTCCTGCGTCTGTGCTGAGATGCGAATCTTATCAGCAACCGATTATGTCGGACGCTCTGGGCAGGTTGCCGGGGTCACTCAGTGTGTACTGTTAGTGTACAGCAAGCGCGCCTGGAAACGTGTATTTTCGCCATGAATACTGAGGGAGTGTGTTAACCGATGATGAAAATAACACTCTATCTTTTATAGCTTTCTATTTATAAAGTGTTACGAACACATGAATAACCCCCTCTCATAAACTGATAAGACATTACGAGTAGTTATGCCCATTCGAATAACCTTTATAGACGCTCTTGTTGTTATAAATGACCTGGGCTTTGAAAGGGGATAATATAGGTCAATTTCTGAATGTTTTACACTCAAATTGTTCTTTTTACCTGCACAATGGTATTCAAAATGATCAAACAAGTTTATTTTTTATCAGGTAGTATCATTTCATACAAAATCAAGCTCATTTGAAAGATTTTATATAGAAAATTGGAAGTCTTGTTAGTCTTGTTTCCTGACCATCCTTTCGAGCTCCTCATGTCTAAGTGGGTCAGTTTGTTCTATAATTTCATTGGACGAATATCTAGAGCTACCAACTTGGCGTGTTTTGAATGAGACGTATGCCTCGGTTATGAACCAACACAGGCGGTTCTAGAAGAAGGCTACAAACGCACACAAACTCAAGCAGACTGACGCACATACACTTGAGCTGCGTGAAAGCGTATCTGACGCGGGACCCAAATTGAACGGGAGATGAGCCAGGGGCCAGACAGACGTGGGACCAGAACGAAGGCGAGGTGCCGAAATAGGCCTATCGGGCGACATAAATCCGGCCCCCCACAGGATGAGGGTTAAGAACTAGTGATGAATGATATGCTGAATCTCAAAAGTGTTGATGTATCTACATTGCTTTTTACATGCAGAGTGACTTGATATGAGACGTTCATTTACACTGACAATATTCATAAGTGAACAATTGTGCAAGATATATATATTATTATTATATATGGAAACAAAAGAGTTACCCTGTGGACCCTTAAAAGAGCACTTGTTTATGTGCTCTCTTTGGACTGCTCAGACTTACTTCTGTACAAAGAGACTGATGGCAGTGCAATGGCAAATGGGAAATATGAGTCTGCTTGGGTGATAGAAAATGACAACATGAATTTTTTTCACGACAAAAGAAGATGAGAATTCTCATCGGAAGGTAACGTCAAGTATAGCTAAGTCTTTATGTGTTGGTGAAATTCGTTTGGATTTTTTCTAGTGTCTCGAGTAAAAATTGATAGGGTTAATAAAGAACTGAAACATTACTTGCTCTTTAACTTAAGGCCTGGTTACACGTAACGATAAGTTGTACTAAAACTGGACGATCTAGCGATCATACAATAAATCGTTAGGTGTAACCACAGAATTGTACAAAATTTGGACGATTGAACGATGGTTTGGAGATTCAGTCGAGAAATCAAGCGCTGCTTGATATTTTCCGTGCGATCACGGTGTCACTTGAGGGAGACGCACTGTGACGTAATTCACTTTGAAATTTGCCGCCGCGCAGAACTAAACTCAGGACTCAAATTTTTTAAATAATTATCGTAGGTAAAAACTGATTTCATATATTCGGAATCAGCGTCTCAAAATAAGCAAAGTTGCTCGCTGGGAACCTGATTTGGTGTGTTATTATGTATATTTTTGTAGTTTTATTATTTAGTTGATCGTCAAAGGTGAAGCTGTTCAAAAAGGTCACTCGGTGCGTTGCACATCTGCAGTCGAGTCATAGCTTCTGGTTCTACACACAACACGGTAGGCCTACAGTATGGCCACCCTTTTCAAAAGACACTCTTCTGCTATATACAAAAATAAAGGGGAAAAAAAGGGAGGGAGGGGGCTTCTGTGATCTAGAGGTACTGTTCGCCTTTCATTCATTAGGTCCAGAGCTCGAAACCTCCACATAGAGAGCAGGCAAATCGCTGTCGGCGCAAAGAGACATGGTGGCTTTATTACGAGGAATCTCCTCAATCTATAGAAAAATGAACGATAGATTGGAACATGTAAACCGACAACACAGTTCGATAAAACAGACAGTTCTCCCATACGACGAATTTGATACAATTTATCGTTGTGTGTAATCGGGGATTTACCGACGCAAATCTTTCTCAGTGTTCAAAAGTTTATTAATAAGTGTGTCATTTAAGGTGTCGTTTGATGTTCGTCTTCTGTTAAAGGGGATTGCACACAGTCAGTCGTGAACTAAAAATATAACTACTATGAGAAGAGGTAACAAATTCTTCTTTTCTTGTTGAAGGTTCAAATAGTTTGTTTGATACAATGAAACCTCCCTAATTGAAATCATAGCATTTTTGAAAAATTCCACTTTGAAATAATTGATTTGGCTTGTTGCATTTTGTGAATGATGTATACCATATAATTTGAGTGATGACAAAATCAGGGTTCGTACTCTCTCTGTCTTATTGGTGCCTGACATGACACATAGTGACGTTACGTTGGTAGCTTCAAACTTCAGGGGAATGATGTGTTGTAACAGTTTGTATGTATATTTTATTATAAGTGTATATATGCAGATGTGGGTGTATGTGTGGTTGTGAGTATATGCGTGTGTGTGTGGGTGTGTGTGTCTGTGTATCGGTGGGTGGGTATAATGGAAAAGAAAGCCACGTCAAATTTCTCAGCAGTATTTTGGTATTCTAACATATAGAGCAGTCTTTCATCTATGAGATTCTGTAAATATGAGTTCTTCAGTAAGTGATGATAACAGCTTGTAACATGTTTCTTCAGTGATTGTTCTTGTGTTTTAATTGAGTGTGAGGAGAGCAAATGAGGAGCAAGCTCATGGCTTCAGTCAGCTACAGTTTGTGCAGATTGAGTTAGTAGAATAAAAGAGAGGAAAAGGTTCCTAGATCCTGTGTCTTCTACTTCTATTGATATATGAATGATGTACATGTACAAATTGGAATGAAAGTTGTCCGTTGTAAAATGTTTTCTTAGGTTCGTCTGTTTTCGTCCAAGGTTTACCATTTTAATGTTTTGAAGTTGATGAAAATATTTTCGTTTTTAATGGGCCTTATATATTAAAAGCTTATGTATATTTCATGAAGATGTGATGCAAGTTCTTTGACATCAGTGCAATTATGGTCTCCGACTGAATCGTGTGCAGTGAGTGCATGGGCTAGACATAGGGTGAATTCAATGGGTGTCTTGGGGCATTGCCAGGAAAAATTGGATTCCCAATGGAAAAGTTAAAGTTGTGCGTTTTCTTCCTAGTTAATAAGCTAGTGAGAAAGGGTGGAGTGTTTTTGAGAAAAGCATTGTATCTGATTATCTTCAGTTTGCTCGACTGATGGAATGTATCGACTGCCTTGTAACTGAAAGACGCAGATTTTATGAATGATAACTCTATGGTGTACATGTACATGTATGCATATTATTTGGTGCACCCCACACCCCAACTCCATGGATAATACAGAAATGCTTTTTTTGACCCAAGAAGTTTGAAGAAGTTATTAATATTATGAATTCCAACAAATTTCCTGTTGGTCAATATACAAGTAAGCAGTCTTATAAGTTTCAGCTTTTGCTAACACGTGTGAGAAAGAGAATATTCTAACAATCTTTTATTTACTGAGTTTCCTTTTTTATTCATTCTTTTTTGTACAGTACTGAAAGTCTGTGATGCAGCAATTTTTTAAATTATTTTTTATATGGCAAAGTTGTTACTTTTAGCCAATATTTACATTTTGGAGAAGCCACATTTCCAGGTGTCATATTGATACTTGTTTGATTTGTTCTTTGTTCAGGATGGGATGTATGATTATAGTGTACTGTTGTTATGGAACATGTGAACACAAAGTTGTAAAATCAAAAGTAAAATGGACATTTGAAATTTGACTCCTGGAGTCACATGATAATGTTCCGTTTCCTTTCTCCGCTCACTTTTAAAAGGATTCTTTTCATGTCTTGGAAACTTGACATGGGTATGTAGATGTACTGTTACTGTTTGAAGGTATTAAGCGCAAGTGTTTTTTTTTCTGAGATTGGAAGTTTCAAGAAGTGAACAGTAGTCGAAAAGTTTATCGTTGAATGTCAGGAAAGTTTTTATTTATGTGTCAGTTAAATTATTAGCATATAGTTTTCATTGAAAAACTTGAGCTTAAATTTAGAGAGAAAGAATGTTCCAAACTTACGAGGCAGTTGAGTGAGCCTAGAATTGAGTAGTTCAGCAAAATTACAAAGTTCAAAAGCCTTTATGGGCCCCTTCAAAGCTTTGTATTGCAGTCTTTGTTCTTAATCCAAACTACCAGTACACTAGGAAAGTGTTTGAATAGCTGCTTTGAAAAATTTTATTTTGCTTAACAGCAAAGAAATAATACTATGTTGATTGTTATTAGGTTTGCCTTTTTTGTTTGTTTTCATTTCATTTCTTTTAGAAGGTGTGTTCACATATCTTACATATTCCTCTGAATTGTGTTAAAAAAAATAAAACATTTGATCATACAAATACTTTCAAAGTTTATCATTGTTTAACAAATCTGCGATATAATTTCAGTTGACAAGACATTTGAGCTCTGTCGGGTTGAAAAGCAGATATATACATCTGGTAGAGAGTGGTGAGCTCTCCACCTGCTGACCAACTGTCATCAGTTTTTTTTTAAATGAAAGTTTTTTTGTGTGTTAGAGTGAAAGAATTACTGCAGTTGTCTCCACCTACATGCATGCCATACAAAGGCATGCTCTGCTCAAATGCACGCTTTCGTCATATGACAGGTTTTTAAGTATATATAATTTAGATGTACAAACGCACGGTCACTTCTAAACACATGCTTCGATCCGAGAAACACGCGGACAGATAGAAGTTTGATAAAGGGAAATTTTCGCTACAGCCTACACAGCTTGCATTTAACTTCTTACGGCAA